TTTTAATCCTTACCCAAGGTTATTTTTTAATCCTTACCCAAGGTTATGTGATTTTATATATATATATATATTTTTTATTTTATTTTATTTTTTTACATTTTTTGAGAAGGAACCAACTTGAGAAAGAGAGAAACATCAATGTCAGGATCATCGATAAGTTGTCTCCACATATGCCCTGACTGGGCATTGAACCCCCACAACCTTGGTGTATCAGGATGATGCTCTAACCAACTTTTAAAAAAAATGATTTTAGAGATTGATTTTAGAGGGAGAAGAAGGGAGAGGGGGAGAGGTTGTGGCCAGCCAAGGTAACAATTGGGGTTGGGGCCAAGGCCACGGAGCTCACAGAGGCATGACTGAGGACAAGGAGTGGTCCCCATCACCAGGCCAGGCTGCCTGGCCAAGGACATGAAGATGATCCAAGGATATTTTCTTCATTGATTTCCAGAGAGAGTGGAAAGCAGGGGAAGAGACAGACAGAACATCCACGTGCGAAAGGCACATCGATTGGCTGCCTCCTGCAGGTGCCCCAACTGGGGCCAAGATTGAGCCTGCAACCCAGGTACACGCCCTTGACCAGAATCAAACCTGTGACCCTTCAGTCTGTGGGCTGATGCTCTAATCACTGCAAAACCAGCTAGGGCTATAACATTTTTGATCAGAAATATATATATGTGCTGTTGTTGTTGTTGTTGATTTCAGAGGGGCAGGGAGAGGGAGAGAGAGAGAAACATCAATGATGAGAGAGAATCATTGATTGGCTGCCTCCTACATGCTCCCAACTGGGGATCGAGCCCATAACCCAGGGCATGTGCCCTTGACTGGAACTGAACCTGGGACCCTTCAATCTGCAGGCCGATGCTCTACCCACTGAGCCAAACCAGCTAGGGCTTAATTGAGTATTTTTTATTAAGTTAATTGGGGTGACATTGGTTAATGAAATTAGCAATTTGCAGTGTAACAATTTGCATTTAGGGAAAAAAAGCAGCTCCCACCTCGAGGAAGCAGTCCGTGGAACAATGGGCAAAGGTGAGGGAGCCAGGAGGGTCTCTGGCCCCAGGAATCTCCCCCAGCGCTGACCCAGGGACACGCTGCCTGCCAACAAGGCCGGCCTTTGGCAAAGCCACAGGAACAAGCAGCTCCCGCATACACGCCGGGACATGGACCTGCTGACCCCCGTTCACCCAGTTCCTACAATTAGACTCAAAGTCCCAACCAAACCCTGTTCTCTCCCAGCAGAACCTACGGAAATCAGTTCCTTAGGATTTTTATCATTATTTAAATCATTTCTTTCAGTCTCTCTAGACTTAATAAGACGAAATAGTTTAAGAACAGTTGGTGAAGCCTTGAGTCCAGTAAGAGGCGGCTCCTTCCCGGTTTAACGCAGCTGATGGTCAGCAAATTGCCTGCTTAAGCCCAGGTGTGGACAACGGCTGGCGCTGAGAGAGGGAGGCGCCCACCTGCTGAGGAGTCTGGGGGTGGGGTGGGGAGCCGGGAGGTGCCGCAGGCCAGCAGCCCTGGATGTTCTGGGCGCCTGCCCCTCAGCCCCACGCTGATGCCTGGAGACGGAGCCGGTTCATCAAGTCTGCACACCTTGGGGGGCGCTGGCAGGTAAGTGCACGCCTGGCCCCGCGGAGCCACTTCTTAGTTCATTATGTTCTCGCCGTCTCGTGGGCCGGAGCTGTTGGTTTTGAAACCTAGGTGTTCTGGGGGCTGGTCTTTCAGGTGCAGGTGTTAAGAGTTGGGGAACTCAATGTGGGGTTCAGACCCCTGGCTCCTCAGGAGAAACAGTGTTTTCAGTTCCCCTGGACGGACGGTGTGGCTGAGCCGGGCGGCGGGCTCCGCTCCTTCTCGGATGTGTAGGCCTCGCTCAGCCATTAGGTTTTCTCTCTGGACGTTGTTCCTGGCGTAGCTGCTGACTCCGTGTGTGCAGGGGAGGAGGCGAGTCCGGGGTTCTCTCCTGGTGCCGTCTTGGACCCGGGACAGTGGTGGAGGCTGGAAGTCAGGTTAGGTGCCAGCTGACCGGTCGGCCTCACAGGGTGAGCAAGCACCACCCGCTCTTAGGGGACCGCATGGATGGACCCGGAGAGAATTGTGCCGAGTCGGGGTTATATTTTAGACAAGAAAAGTAAAGTGAGTTAAGCCTGTTAAATAGCCTTTGCCTGTGTGCTCAGTGGTTGGAGCAGCGGGCTGCGCACCAAAGGGTTGCAGGGTCAGTTCCTGGCTCCGTCAGGGAGCATGCAGGAGGCAACCGACTGATGTGTCTCTCTTACCCAATGGTTCCCTCCCTTACTTGATCTTTCCCTTCCACACTTTTTTTTTTTAATTTTTATTTTATTTATTTATTGTTTTATTGCTTAAAGTATTACAAAGAGTATTACATATGTCTTCTTTTTTTCCCCCGCCCTTGACAATCCCTTGGCCTCCCCTAACCCCCCGTGTCTTATT